GAGAACATGACAGTATCCTGATATTTTAATTGCTTGTTGAGGTAAATAATGCAGAAAAGGTCTTTACAGAAAATTTTCAGAGAGATCTCCTTTCTGCTAGTGTATGAGGCCTTCAAATGTCCAAGAAGATAATACAATTTTCTAAATTTCTGTTTCTTCATGTATCTCCCAAGTGTTCTCACACAATTAGAAATGTTTTGCAAACAACTAAAATACTGTATTTGATCATTATGAACTTGTAACTGTGTAGCCCTGTAATAAAGTATTGCCATTGCTCATAACAGGCCATAAGCTTTGTATCAAGTTTCTAAGGCCTTAGGACTGCGCTCATCAGACTTGCTCTGTCTGAACATTTTTTGGTCTGCTTGCAGCTTCACTTCGCTTCAGTTAACTGTGACAGCAGTTTCTCCGCTTGACAAGTTTTCTGTGGCTATTTTTTTTTTCTTTTCAAATCTTTGCATGGTGCAATGATAGTTTTAAATAGGTTATAGTAACAGACAGCTACACTGTGTAGAATAATATTTATGACTCTAATATGATGAGGTAATGTAGAGAATGTACAATACCAGAGTGTTGAGAATAGGAGACATGGGATACAGTGTACATAGGCTGATAAGAGATGGAGCACAGGGTTGACACTCCTTAGGTTGCTCAGGGTTTTACCCACTTGGGTCTTAGAAACCTCAAAGGGCTGAGACTACTTACTCCTTTGGCTCTACTGCCTGCTTCCATGAGCCCTGCCCCACACCTTAGTAAAGAACCTGGCCCTGCCTTCTCTGTAACCTCCCCCATAGGTGTTAGAAGGCTGCTATTAGGTACTCCTGAAATCTTCTCCTCTCCAAGCTATACAAGCATGGTTTCCTCAGCCTCTGGCCATGCCTCTTCTCCAGCCCCTGACCACCTCGGTCACTTCCTGCTAAACCTTCTCTAACTAATCAATGTCTGTCTTGTACCGGAGGGCCCCAAACTGGCCACAGTATCCAGATGTGGTTGAAGGAGTGCCTAATGAAGGCAGTTAATGGTTTCCCCTGAGGTAGTGGCTGCCCGCTGTTAGTACAGCCCAGCATGTTACTGGCCGCCTTTGCTGCCAGGGCATGTGCTGGGTTGTGCTTAGCTTGCTGTCCACCAGTGCCTCACAGACTTTTTCAGCAGAGGTACTACCTCACCGGCCAGTCCCCAGCCTGTACTTTTGCAAATAGTTAGTGTGTCCTGGGTGCAGGACTTTGCACCTACCTTTGTCGAATTTTGACAGGTTCCTGCTTGGTCCAGTTTCCCCACCTGGTCCTGCAGAACTGCAGCCTTGCCTTTGGGCCTGTCCACTAAGGTCACATAGTTTGGGGTTACCTGCAAAGTCGATGAGGGTGCACCCTGTCTCCTCCCTGGCATTATTTACAGACACTACACAGGAGAAGGTCCCATGTTAGACCCTGACAAACTATATTCATTAACAGCTTCTCCGTAGGGTACAAAACTTTACCCACTACACTTTGACCTTGATTCCAGCCACTTTTCACCTATCTAGTTGTCTACCTATCCACCCAGATGAGATACAAAAATTATGTGGAAGACCATGTCAGAAGGCCTGCTAAAATCAGTATAATACTATGACTTTCTCCTCATGTAAGAAACCATTTTGGTATAAAATAGAACACTTGGAAGTAGTTACCTGACAGTACTAAAGGAATTCTGTATCAAACTCAGGATTTAGATCTCCAAGAAGAAGACACGATGGGAACTCTTTCCACAATTTACAAGCCTCTTAAGCATCTTCAAAAAATTTCTGATGCTTGAAGAAATGTGAGAAATCCAAAAAACTCTCCATTGGAAAGAACATTTGAACTTTTGTTTGAAACAAGATTTCAATTGCTGTTCAGTCACCATGAGGGCAACTTCAATAAGCTCACTGAGCAAGAGTCGGGATTTTAACTTATACGTATATGCTACATGTGTGAATAAGGCATCTGCTCTGTATGCAGGAAAAGGTTAATTTGGAATACAATGCAAGTTGTATTAATTAAACTTTGGTTACTGTGCTGAGATATGAACATTTAAGTCTGAATTAAGATAATCAAATGTCATATTCCAAGCATCAAAAAAAAATCACATGCAGAAAAAATCACGTGCATTATTTTAAATACAGAATAGTTATGTAAAACATTGTATATAAACTAGTTAATGACCTATTTCAGTACTATGAATCCTCTCACAGTACTTCTTTTCCACTTCTGAGTATGTCTCAACTATTGCACAAAACCACTAGGAGAAGGTTTGAACTCCATTAAAGACAAACAAGGACAGGAGAACAATAGTTTATTTTACTACATAATTTTTATAATATAAATACCCACTTTTGTTCATCAAAGGCCATATTTTAGTAAGAGCATGTGTTGTCATTTCAGCTCACAGCAACAGAGCACTACACAGCCGCTCACTCCCATTTTCCTTCCCAATGCTGAGAAGGAGAAAATAAAGCAAAAGGCTCAGGAATTGAGATAAGGACAGGGAGGGGTGACTCACTCATTACAGTCATGGGCAAAAGACAGACTTGTTAGGGGACCAAAAAAAGAACATAAATTTAATACAAACACTAACAACAACACCACTTAACAGACAGAGTAGCACAGTGAGAAGCATTACCACATCTTAAGAACACCTTCTCCCCACCCCTCCCTTCTTCAGCATTGCTCCTGATATCTGTACCTCCTCCTGCAAGGGAATGGGGGTGCAGTCAGTGATGCTGCTTCTTCCTCCTCAGGGTGGGGGGAACTCTTCCCCTCCTCCCTCATGGTTCCCCTCTCACAGGAGACAGTCCTTCACAAACTATTTCTCTGACATAAGTCCCTCCCACGGCTGCAGCCCTTCCCGAGCTGCTCCGGCGTGGGACACCCCCGCATGCTGCAATCCTCCCAGCGCTGAACTACAACAGCGGGAGCTGCTTCTTCCCGCACATTCCCAGCTCCCTCCTCTGTGTTCAGTCACCTACTCTAGAGTGGAGTCCTCCACAGGCTGCAGGTTGGCATCTGTTCCACCAGTGATGTCCATGGGTGGCTGGGGAGGGATGGCCCCTGCTGTCTCACCGCAGACTACAATGGGGCTCTGCACCAGTGCACTCTGTTCTTCCACTGACCTTGGTTTTCACACAGATGTTTCAACTCCTCCTCCCAGATTCTCCTTCTTAAATACGTTATCTCAAAGATGCAGCTGATTGACTCAGTCCTGGCCAGAACTGGGTCTGACTTGGAGCTGGGGGAGCTTCAAGAAGCTTCTCACAGGATGGTCAGTGCTGTAGCCCCTTCCCCTGCTACCATAAACCCCACCATTACACTCAAACACAACACAGCATATGTGTGTGTGAGAGAGAAGTGCCTTTCTATCCACTTCCACCCCTTCTCTGCACGTCCTTTATGAAGTTCAGACAGATTTTTATTTTAGCAGTCCTCTGTGGAATTTTTTCTGAGCTGCTCAATAGTGTCTGTAGAGAGGCTGAACCTCACCTTCCCTCTTTAAGAGACAGATAAATTATTTCTGCTTTTTATGCAAGGTGACTTTGGAGATAAGGGTTAACAGTCTCTGACAAATCTAGTTACTGGTTGCATATTTGTTTCATATAACTTCCATTTTCCACAGATTTACTTTAGGAGCACTCAGATGTTGTCTACGCATTTTGTGGACTTCCACCTTTCAGAAGTCTGTGAAGTGTGAAGCTTAAAACAAACATCATGGCTTCTAACATTTAAAAGGCTTTTCATTGCCAAATTTTCTTGACGATTGTGGTGCTTTGGCAGACTGAAATGTTGCACTGTGAATATTCATAAAGCCCTGAATATTTCACTCTTTCTGTCCTACTGTGAATAAAGGTATTACTAGCTTCAGTTACGGAGGTTCACATTGCTCACTGTAGTAAGATTTATGCTTCTAGTAAGTTTTATGCTCATACTAAGGTTTCTGTGCTAAGCCAGTGCCTCCCTACTTGATTGTTAAGGTGATTTATTTTGTTGACTGGTCAGTTTTTGGGCTATATTTCCATTTTCATACTGTTGTTAAATACCACATGTACATTTGAACATTTTCTTGTTGCTGTTGCCAGTCTCTTGTAGAACCATTGAAATTAAACAAGGTTTCAAAGTGGATAGCTGAATTTCATTAATGTATTGGCTTTCTCTCTGCTTTCTGTGAGATCATTTTTTCACTGTGGCCCTTCTAGCTGACAGTGGTTGACATCCATCAGCATCTCCAGAACCTTTAGCAGGAAGGCTCACTCCTCCTGCTGTGGGCATGACCGTGAACGCTCATGGAGTGCTACAATCCTTTCTTCTGCTGTAAGCAGCGTGTTCTGCTGCAGCTGAGAATCACTGAACCGTACCTGTGGGAAGGGACCTCTGGATGCCATTTGGAAGAGCACGGCTCAGAACAAGGGCAACCTGCAGCAGTTCGCACACAAGCGTCTTAAACAAAGCTCAGGCTCAGCTTTTTAGGATCGTAGCTGCCTGCTACCCTAGGGCCGGAGTTTCTTTGTTAGGGAGCGGCAGGAGCCGGGCTGCTGCAGCAGGGTGGGTGAGCACAGCAGAGTCAGCGCCCTGACCCGACAGCCACGGCCTCAGGGCACCTGAGCAGGGCAGCGACGGCAGCGGGTTGTGTCAACACCCCCAGCGCCCACCAGGTGACAGCCAGCAAACGCGCCGTGTCCCCCGCCGGTCTGGGAAAGCCTCACGATCGTTCGGGACCGAGAGGGGGAACAAGCTGGGTCAGGGACCGAGGGGCTGTCGGGGGCAGCCGAAATGGGGCCGGTGGGCAGAGGGCCGTGGGGGGAGGTCGGTCAGGCCCCGTTAGGGCAGCGATGCCCGGATGCTTTTTGATGCTTTACTTTCTGAAGTGAGACCGCTTCAGTTGCCTCCACCCCCCCCCGCCCGCCCCCAGGGCTTTTACGTAAAGGACCTTTCCTTCCTGCCCCTGATTGACAGCGATAAGAGCTGCCACTGTTTTTCCCACGGAAGCCCGGCCACGCCGCCCCCCGCCCCGCCCCGGGAAGGCGGCGCTCCCCGCGCGGTGCGCTCCGCCCGGCGCGGAGCGGCGGCGCCGGCGGCGGCAGCGGGAGGGGGAAGAGGAGGAGGAGGAGGAGGATGGTGGTGCGGCCGCTGCTGCGCGCCGTCATCATGGGGCCGCCGGGTTCCGGGAAAGGCACGGTCTCCGCTCGGATTATCAAACATTTCGGGGTGAAGCACCTCTCCAGCGGCGACCTGCTGAGGGACAACATGCAGAAGGAGACAGGTGGGAACGGGGACGGGCCACAGCGGAGAGTGGGACACCACGCACACGCGCGCGAACCGGCCCCACGCAGCCCGGCGTGACACAGCCCCGCTCCGCCGCGGGGCGTGGGGGGGGACACACAAACAGACGGTCCTTCCGCCGCCCCGCTCCTTCCCCTTCTCCCACACACCGCTCCCCGTTCGGGAAGCTCCTGCGGGCTTCTTGAAGGGGTTTTTTTCAGCTCCCCAGCCCCACCTCTGTGTGTCCATTCACCCCCCACCCCCTGAGGTTGGGCGCCTGCACACAGCTCTTCCTGGAGGCCAGAGGCCACCGAAGTGGGCCTCAGGGCTCCAGCCAAGGATCCTCTAAAGGTGTCACTTGGCATCCTCCTTGCAAGCACGGACAGGGCATATTTGGGGTTTATCCCGTTTTCCTTGGTTTGTACCACCTAACTGTTTCCTCGTCTTGGGGCTTTTGGTAAGCACCCAGCCTTTTTTTGCAGGTGTTTCTGACAGTCTTCTAGCTGAAACATCTGGAAAGGGAAAAATGTTCATGTTTTTAACAGACGGGGCAAAAGGGAGGAGTTTGGGGCGATCAGACTTTTTCAGATCTCTGTTAGACGGCTAGAGGTAGACCCACCTAGAATTACCAGCTATTCCAAATGTAGGAGGCCTTGTGCTGAACGGGCAGATGTAACAGTAGTAGCTCTTTTCAAAAACAACGAGCAGAATTTTAAAACCAGTTACCTTGAGCTTTTGAGATTATTATTGTTGTCCAACGAGTTCGTGTCGTGCTTAGGTTTCAGCATGGTCTGTGTTTGCATACAGAGTTGTTTGTGTTAGGTTAGGATGTGAATTATACTTACTATGTAGTCCTAGCTTGATCTCTGGCTCTCTGTTGAGATGCCACAACCCCTCTCTCCTGTGGATTTTTGCAGTGATGAAAGGTCTCCTCCTGACTTCTGCATCTGGTTTTCTTCAAGGTGGGGTCAAAAACCTTGTAAGAACCTTTTCAGATTGCATGTGATGAAGTGGGAGTATTGTTATTTCCAGCACTTTGAAACTGCAGACGGCTACATTCACTTGAATCACTGCAATATAATGGTTAGGTAACTGGCCGTCTTGGTTTTGGAAGCTTATAAGCACATTTGAAGGTGGAAAATTATCTGTATTGTGAAATCAACTGTGATCTGTTTTCTTCATCTCTTTTCACACAAATTCTGTTTGCTCTGTAAGAATAATGACTTTGGCTTAGTTGACTGACTTTACTACGGTTGATATCTACAAGTTAAACATTTGCTAGGAGCACTACCTGTGCAGGCATATCTGATCACATTCATGATTTTTCTGTCTGTTGGTTGGGCAAGTGTAGGTTTTTGTTTACACAGGGTAACAAAACCAAAATTGTTGCTGTTAAGAAAATTGTTGCTGTTAAGAACTTTCAGTGTAAGTAAGGCCTAGTGAGAAAGGAAGGCATTCCAGAAGATGAAGGAAATAAGTTATTTACTAAATACTTCGGGTTTTGTGCTTTTTCAGTATGTCTTGAAAGCAACGTTAAAGAGCACCAGAATCAAACTGAAGTGGAAAGAAAGAATGTGAAGGAGAACCAATATATGAAATGAAAGTGTAGCAGACAAGTTAAAACCCTAAATGTGAGGAGAGAAGCCAGTGTGGGGTGTAAGAGATAATGAAGTTTGCTCTGAACTTGCTTGTGTAGAACTTGTAGGAATCTGCTAGAGTTTTTCATTCACTAATTAACACAGATGAAGCTCTGTTTTAATTTTACTGAAAGTGAGTCACTCATTGCAGAAATGATCTCTGGAGGATTGAGACGAATACTGAAGTAGCAGGAATAAGTACTACACTGAAGGAGGGAGAGGGACTGAGGGGCACCTCAGTGAGCTTTGGCAAGTTTAGTTGAGGCAAAGAGTTTGAGTTTTGATTATAATAGAAGAGTCCTGCAATTCCCAGTTCTCTGAGAACTGTGTTAGGCTAAGTTGGGCAGATAGAACACCTGGAATATTAAATATAATTAGCAATAGTTATACGGTGGCATTTTTAGCATTTGTTGCCTTGTGAAAATGGACTTTGTTGAAAAGTCCTGTTGAACATATGGGCATCCTTAGCCATTTGTACTTACTACCATGTTCTGCTGCTTTGGAGAGTGGAGAGACCATGACCACTTCTCTAGTGCTAAGCAACGTGTTGTCTGCATATGGCTAGAGCTTGTTTGCTGTAATGTAGTCAGGACGTGACAATCTTCTGCAAAACCATGAAACATGGACAGCTGTATCATCTACATGGGAGAGAAACTTGTGTTGCCTTTAATTTCAAAGATTGCCATGCCTATAGTGGTTTCAGACCCAAGGTGGAAAAAAAGAGAACAAAATAAAGACAAAAAACCCTCACAAAATCCCACCCCCAACAACAGGGAAGAAAAAAAAAAAAAAAAAAGCAGCTATGTTCTAGTATACAAACTTTTTGTCCTAACATCTAACTATTTGGGTACAGTTGTGCCTTTTTTTTTTTTTTTTTTTCCCCTGTAATAGTAACCTTCTAAATGGCCTGAGATTTGTAGATAGAGGCAGTATGTTTCCAGCTCTGCTGGTCTAATAGTAGGTCCTTAGAGCTTGCCATATTTAAACCTCTCTGGGCCCAAAAGCTCATCTGTCTTTCCAAAGTGTGTTAGTACAGTTTATCAACCTTGCGAAGTGCATATTCTTAGATCATTGTGTCTAGAGCAATGATGCAGTGTAAATCTGTAACAGATTCAAGCAACAAGTAGACATTGAACTATCTAGATGTAATTTAGTCCTTCTCCCAGCCTACTTTTGCAGGGTACATAGTTCAAAGTATACTAGAACAATAAATGAGGCATGACTTGCTGACCTCGAAGAGGGGAGGTAGGGAAAAGCACAGACACTGTACCCAGGTAGACTGTCACCGTCTTTCTGGTTTGTGATGTGCTGGAGGAGTCAAGCGTCAGAGTCTGACTCTTTTCCACATTGTGAGGATTATATGAAATCTGACCAGGGTGCTTAGTGCCAATTTCTAAATGATATTAAAACTTTCGAAAGACTGAGTTTAGATGTGTACAACCAATAAGGGGAAATTGTCCCTTTGATACCTTTTTTTTTTTTTTTTTCCAGTGCCAAAGCTACTGTTTGCATTACTTGAGGGCATCTATTGCTTTTCAGTTGCCTTGTCTAAAGAATGGCCTCTGTACTATTTCACTTTCCAATATTGCATCAAGTGATGGGACTGGCATTCTTCACTACTTTCTGCTGAAAGTGATTATATCATGTGTTGGTGTGCCAGTCCATCCCATTTTCTCCTCTGCCTAGTTTACTGTCAGTAGATCTGAATTGGCTGCAAGTAAAGGCTTCTGCAGATCTACAATAAAACCAACCTAGCTGCTGTTCTGGGTGATTTACATAACTGGGTAACTGTTTTATAAACGAAGGCCACTGAGACTTTGTGCCTAGGATGCAACCCAGGAAAAATAATTTCTTCCTGGGTATACCCATGATTTGGGTGAACTATAGCATGCTACTGCCTGTCATGTAGGAGCATGGTGTGATATCCTGAACTGTGATGTGTGGATGGCATTTTAGCAAGCCAGTGGGCTAAATGACTGGTATTAAAGATTAGTCATTTCCATGGGAAAATACTAGTGTCTGCGTGCTCCCATAAATAGTTTACAACATCTATAAACTTCCTCTTGTAACTCTAGTAATCATAAAAATACATATCTGGCAAGCGTGTCCTACAGCATACTGCTCTCTTAAATACCAAAGGCATTCTTCTTCGTAGTGGAGTCGTAAAATAGTAACTAGCCACTTAACTGAGAAAATAACTTTCTTGACAGGAAATCTGAGGTCTGATGTCTTAATGAACTTGTATCCTTTACATTTCTTCTTTGGAAGACTCTTTTACCTAATGGTGTCTCCTGATCTTTGTTTTTAGAACCTAGTATTTTGAATACTTACGAGCAAAGTGACTCGGGTGGTGTGAGGATAGAGATGTGCTGAATGCCCTGTTGCCATCCATGGAACTAGAGAATGAATCTGATACATTTTTGCATGATCAAATCCTAACTGATCATCTGTTTTTCAATTTCAGCAAGCATACTGTCTCTCTTGTTTACAACTGTACTGTTCTGCGCTGTCCTGATTAGAACAAATTTTGTGCAGGCTTGTGGGCTTTTTTTCACTTGCTGGATGTCAGAATAGTATAGTGTGACTCCTCTTACTTTTGCAGAAGTTGGAATCCTTGCCAGGTCCTACATTGATCAAGGGCAGCTTATTCCAGATGACATCATGACACGACTAATGCTGAATGAGCTCAAAGGTCTCGATCGGTACAACTGGCTGTTGGATGGTAAGTTAATATGTTGGATATCACTATGTATGGAGAGAAAATCTGCACTGGAAAGCTTCGAATGCTTTGGTCACTTGCAGTTAGCTACACTTCAGTAGCCATCCTTGAGCTCTAGTAACTCGACAGTATTTCTTGCCAGTTTGTTGTGAAGCCTTCAGCAGCTAGACTGCCCCAGTTTTTTTGGCTGTAAAATGCTTCAGGTACATTCTGCCTTCAGAGTGTTATAGGAATGTTTAATTCATGTTGGAAAGGGTAGTTCAACACTCCAGTAAAATTTCAAAGCCGGCATTTCTCACAATTCTTATGCTTTATTTCCCCTTTATAATATGCATAGAGAAGTTTATTTTTTTAAAGACTTTTCTTGTTAAAGTCCTTGGGAAATGGAACACTTTTGAAGAATGGAGCTGAAGAATTATTTAAATAGAAAGGTAGGTATGTGATGCAGCAACAAAGTAAGTATGGAAGGCAAGTACTGCAGCAGCGCAGTGTGTAATAAATCACCAACAAAGCCACTCCTTAAGTGCTCTGAAAGGTCTTTCATTTGCTCTTTGGTTCCATTCTCTAGAGTGAATTGTTCTGAAATTCTGCAGTGTAAGCTCATGGCTTCACCATTCATGGTAGAGAGAAAATGCATTTGCCACTGTCTTCATGAACTGAATGGCTCGTTATCCCAGCCCAGGGGAGTACAGTTGGATGTGCAGCACAAAGATAGTGTCTAGGCTGGATGTGTGTGTTTTCAGATTCTAGTCACTGCCTGTCTCAGTAGCTAAAACTAAAAAATTGTTGCTAGTATTTGGAGGGAGTGAAAAATCCACAGTGCTCTCTGTCCAATGTTGTAATTGCTTCTAGTACAGTGATCTGTTCTGGTGGCTTTAGTCAGTTATGTTCCTCCTTAGTGAAGTCAGAGGCTTAATTTGCACAGCGAACAGCACAATGAAACCTAACCAATAAAGGAAAGAGCTGCAGATCTTTTATTTATTTAGTCCTGTGTACACACAGTTCTAGCCTTGTGGATCTGGATGCGTGGCAGTGTATCTGGGCACACTGGCAGCTCTTAACAGGAGGATGGTGTGGAGACTGTTAGAGAATAGATCAATTTCTGCTGCATGTTAAAGTGCTAATGCTTTTAAACTTTTGGAGCAGAAATTTTGTCTGCATCTGCATTTGTAATGGGACTCAGTGATTTACACTAGGGATAGCTCTAGCATGATTGGCTCTGTACGAACAACACTGTTCTGTTGAAATATGCTAACCAGAAAGTTTTTAGTTTGATAGCTGCAACTCAGAACAAACAGCTGAGGTCAGACGGGTCAAACTAAATAGTGTTGTTGAGCTGCTTGTATGCTTATTTAGCCAAATACCCATTTCCACTGCCTTAAGACAGGTTTGTGGCTTCTAGACTCAGCAGATCTAGCAATCTGAGTCGTGTGTGTGGGTATGATTTGCTTAGATTCATGTGCTATATAATTAGGTCACTTTGTGTTCCTGGACTATTCATAATTCATCACATTTTGTAGATTATTTTTTTTCTGTATTGAGAAAACACCGTATGCTGCAAATGCTGGTTCAGTTTCAATTAAATGCTTTTGTAAAGGCATTTTAATTTGTTGAGGAATTTTCTCATTACTAAGTCCCAAAGCAAACTCATTTTCCAGCTGCATAACTAAGATGTGTGGTGGCTTGTCAATAGTAAGAACAGCAGTGTGGGAGTCCTGGCTCTCTCTCTGCTCTTAACATTTTGAAGCACTTCCATGAGATAATGTGAATGTGAGAGAAACAGGATGAAGGCAGCTGATGACTGTGCTGCAAACCAGGTTCATCAGACTTAATGCACAAGCAAGATCTTGGTCTGAGTTAATCAACTCTTTTCTTTTGTAATCTGTTAGATGAGACACAGTAGCCTTGAGATGATAACTTTTATTTTTTTTCTGCTGTAATGCTAGTTCTTGGCTGGTTCTTTACTCAGGCAATGGACTCATCAGCCAATGTTATGCAAAGAAGAGTTTTTTAAGTTTGTCCCTATCAGTACTTGCCTTTATGGAGAAGCTTACGTGTATAGTATCATGAAAATTACAAGCCACTGAAGAACATGAGACTCTGCAAGAGCTTTGTGGGTAGAAGTATTATTCCAGTGAATCTGTGGTGCATGTTCTGCAGTAGCTTTGACTGCTAAAGTTCTTGTGGTTAACTCTGAATTTTAAATTCTGTGTGGAGATCTTGGTTTTCTTATTTTCTGTTCTCCCAACCCCCCTCCTTAAGTTCCACTAGATTTCTCTAGTTGTAACACGTGCCTTTGAAGGCACACTACTGGAGCCATACAGTTCATGGGGCAAAATGCAGTGTCTTTTAAGTGGACAGATTCCTGTTCAGCCTGGGTGTTCTCACAGTCATCATCCCTGAGGATAGTTTGATGCACTAGACTTTCCCAAACTCTTTCTAAACCTACTTTTTTATGTAAAATTAATCCTGGACTGCCCCTGGTAGATATATCTGGCTTAGGTTTGTAATGGTTACCTGCTTAAGCCAGACTTTCACAACCATAGAAGCAAGAGTTGTCACAAACGTTTCTAGGTTGTCCAAGACCTGAGTGAACTGCCTGTAGCTTTTATTGTTCAAAATGTGTATACAATGCTTATATTCAATGTAGTGCTATGTAGTACCTGAGTACAGGGTCTTTTTGCATTTGTTAGTTACACTTTGGGGAAGATGATGAACTGACATGAGGAAATGGAAGCTGGGAGGCATCTAACAAGTTAAAGTACCATGACAGACTGAAAAATACTTGGAAAATCTAATGTCTCTTCAACCTTTACAGTATGACGATGCTTTTTTTTTTTTTTTTCCCCTGTCTGACAATTATTTTCTCTAATGATTGAATCCAGGTAATTCTCACTATAACTCTGCCTTTGGATTTATATGGAGTTGTTTTCTTTAAAAAGGTTTCCCCAGAACGGTTGCTCAGGCAGAAGCCCTGGATAAAGAATGTCAAATAGACACAGTGATTGACCTAGATGTGCCATTTGAGACCATAAAATGTCGTCTCACAGCACGTTGGATCCACCCTGCTAGTGGCAGAGTCTACAATCTTGAATTCAGTCCTCCCAAAGTGCAGGTAAGTAATACAAGTCCAGAAGAAAAAGGCTCATTTTATCTCTTAGGAGCACAGAACTGTCTGGTAACACCCTGCCATTGAGGGTATGTTAGTGACCTGGTAGAAGCTAAAGCTGATGGACAGTGTGCTTGTCCACTGCAGGATGAAAAACCATGGTATTTTGTAAGCTCTTGTTAAAGCTGTTGGCTGATCTGGAATATTCAGAGTCTTGCACACTTGCACAGGAGTTGGGCATGTTTAAGAACTTGCCTGTTCTGCAAGTTTGCAGCCAGTACAGTCCAAAATACAGTTTTCCTTTCTCCAGAGGACTCATTCTTTGTATCTAGCAAGCGTACCTGAGTCAGAGGAATCCACTTAATTCTTTTCCTGTGTTTATATTTAACCAGGATGGATATTTTCAAGGGAACAGTTGTCGTATCACAAAATCAGATGTAGAAACTTGCCAGTCAAGCTTCTCAACAGATCAAAGAGGTTATATATCCTAAAGAGGAATAGTGAACTTGAAGATGATGATTGCTCATTGTTACCTTAAGATTTGTGAGGAACTTGGATTAGCTTTAGTGCAACTCATCTTAAACTGTATTTCATCTTTAAATAACTTGCCTGTTGTGGCATCACATTTCTCCTGGAAGCTCTATTAAGTTACATCAGAAGCATAGCAGGCCTTGTAGTTTTTGGATTTCAGTGTTGCAGGAAAAGAGGCCATCTGAAACAGCAGGTAAGCACTGGAAGTGAGCAACTGGAAACACTGCCTTTGTATTGTTTAGAATGTGCTGTTTTAACTCATGGTTATTTTTAATTGCAGAAGAGCATAGGCAAGCTGCAACAGAGTTATCAGACACACCAAAGAGTGGGCCTCAGCTGCAGCAGCTTTGCTATTAGGAACACTCCACTTTACCTTCCACTAATTAGAAGGCATATGACAACATAGTAGATTGCAGTATTTAAGTGAGAATATGGAATGGAGCTTAACAGATGAAATACAGTTGCCTCTGTTATCTAATAGACCTGCAAAATGTTTACTTACTCAACAGAACCAAAAGATTATGGCTTTAGAGTGAATGCAAGGCTGAAGGCTCAATATTTGGTAGGTACAATGCCTGCACAGGTGATAGAAACACTTAAGTGTTTTAAATGATTGCATTATATAAACAAGCTAAGTTTGACTGTATAAATCCATCTCTAATATGATACAGATGTTCTGGAACATATTTTCTTCACACCTTCACTAACAGACAGTGAAGCTTACTGAATATTGATGGTTATTGATTTTCTGAAACTGACTGTCAGAATGTAAGCAGGAAAGGAAAACATTTCTGTGGTCTAATTGGCTTTGTACTTGCAAAATCACTCATGTTTCCACTCTAAATGTCAGATTAAACTTGTCTTTAGGGAAAATCAAAATTCTTGAGGACTTATTAATATGTACGAAGGAGCAAAGAGTCCTTATATCTGTGGTGGGTCATATTCAGATGCACAGTGATTCAATGCACCTAAGTAGGAGCCAACTTTTATGACACTGGCTAGCCCTTCGTAAGATATGCCAGTGGTCAGTAATTTCTTCAGTCATTGGTGGTTTCAAGGTTTATGAGCTCTGTAATCACTTAATGCACTTCAGTGAATTGGAGATGAAATGTGCAGTAAAGTAGGACCTGTTGTATTTCATCCCTGGACCCCAGGACCTGTCACATTAGGTCCCTACCTCTTTACTGAATCCTGGAAAAACTTCAGCTGGCTTTTATGGCATTTTTTTGTACAGCTGTTGTTGTATGATAACTTCCATTTTGTTACTTAAAATCAAAGGGCCATTAACTCCTTTCCCCATTTCAGTACTGTCAAATAAAGGTTTGATTCGTCTCTTGCTTGTTTCGTGGGATGCAGGAATATATTACCAACAATACTGCTTTCCCTCATATATGAGGGTTTTGTCTACATATTTCCCATATTCAGTGCATGTTCCAGCAGACAAATTAGTCATTACTATGACCTGATGTTCATTGCCAATACTGAGAAAATGTTTTTAACTGATGGACTGTTTTACTGGAAAGTCAACATCTTATATTCCAGATAAGATACGGGCAGTAGCTTTTCTCTTTATAAGCAGAAATCTACACCTTGACTAACTGGAAACTGATCATAATTTAAATAGAGAATTACATGGAACATACTTAAATGGAAATAAGAAATAAACACTAGTATTTGCTTTTAACCATGATTAGGGCATTGATGATATTACTGGAGAGCCACTTGTTCAGCGTGACGATGATAAGCCAGAGACAGTTACCAAGAGGCTGCAGGCTTATGATGCACAAACAAAACCTGTTCTAGAATATTATCGGTAAGTAGTAAAATCTATTCCACATTCTAAAAGCTTCTTCCACATTAGCACAGTGCAGAACGGATCTCCTCAGTTACAGAAATATTGCAACAGTGAACATGGTATGAGTAGGAGTGTATCTTCCATCAGCTCAGTAAGAAATAAATCCAGAACAATGAGTATATTTTCCACCATTGCATGAAATCTTTTCAGGAGCCTGTGTAGCAAAAGAGCCTTTCACTGCAGCCATATTTAGCTTTACACAGCACACTGCAGTATTTGATACATTATAATACTGTTCTGAGCAGCGTAGCTCTGGTTAGTAAGATAACAGAGACAGTTTGGTTTGTTTTTTTTTTTTGGAAGATCTACCAGTGTTTTCTGTTCTGGATGTATAAGTAGAAGCCCTCCTAACAACAGCAAGGGGTCAAGAAGTGACATACAAATAGAAAAACTGTTAATGAGGATTTAAAATTGGCTGTTCTAAGGCAGCATTCTGAAGTGAAAATGCCTCAAAGCACCACAGTAATACATAAGGCTAAGCTATTATTACTGATAATAACATAATTTACAGATAAAACTAGCTACTAGAACTAATTTAGAATAACTTGACTGTGCTTGGTTCACTTGCTTCTTTGATCTTTGACGTGTAACTTTACAATACTTGTGTTAGTCACGGTTTGTTGGGTGACTGCTGTATAGCATGGGCTATGTGACTGCATTGCTGCTTCTTGTTTTTACCCTTCAGAGTTTGTTATTAAGAAGTACTTTGTGGACAGCTGTCAGTTTTACGAATTGATGTGGCCAACAGCTCACTGTTTGAGGAAGAGTAATAAAGTCCTGCCTGCATTCCCAATGTTATGGCTGTTCTTGGTGTTAAATCACATGCATATTTGCACACTGCTGCTAGGGCAATCTTAAAGTGATGCAGAGATCTTGCAACAGTTAAGCAATTTGACTTCTGTAATGCTTTCTTCCTTTTCTTCCTTAGGGAAAAAGGGTTATTGAAATCCTTCTCTGGAACAGAAACCAATAAGATCTGGCCACATATCTATGCTTTCCTTCAAACCAAGTTGACAGATGTGAGTCAGAAAGATGCTGCCAGTCCAAGGTGAAAATAGGTCTAACTTCTGCTCATCTGTCATAGTTCACACTTGGTTACATGAGATTCAGCAATCAAGGATTTCTCTAAGAAGTCTACCAGACTGATCAATAATTAGTCTAATGTTGTCCTTAACTTACATTATGATAAAACTTTGTTGCCTGTGGTTTTCACTTCAATGCTGTATTTTTTTTATATTAAATATACCTAATTTTTATAATATAGTAACTGACTTTAACAAAAGAAGCTACTTTTGTGTCTCTTATTCAGAAAATACTTATGTTTGCACATATTGACTGGTGAAGGAAACACATTTCAGAATACAGCTTAATTACAAAGCACATTGATTTACTGACTCATGAAATGTAGTGTGAAGCAATGATAAGGGCGTAAAATCATGTTTCTTGAATGTGTGAGTAGTTGAGGCCAGCTAGAAGCTATGGCAAACCATGACCACCATTCTACAAATGGTGCATACGTAGAGACTGAACTCATGAAAATGACAGTCAGATTTTTAGCTTTGCTTGCAGAGATGCTATTTGATTTTGTTGGACTTAAATGTTTATATTTCTGCCCTCAGAACAGCTACCTTGCAGGCATGAGAAAGCAAGTTTCAATGACATGTAACACATTCAGTAAAGCCTCTGTCTTTGTGCAGCTGTCTAAGACTTTATTAGTAAAAAGACAGCAGATACTGAACAGATTAAGTGTAATTTGGTAAACCTGTAGCTAGATGAGCTTGACTAGTAAATGTGTCTTTTCTGCTATCTTTGAAAAAAACTACTGCTCATTGATGTCAGTGCCAGGACTTCCAGTGGTCAAGTTATTAACTTTGTCATATTATTATGGCAAGTTTGATTGTAGCAATTGGACTGGTTTTCATGGGTTCATACTACTAATTAATGTCTCTGACCAGCTCTTGTATTTATTTATTCACTAGATAACTGGAGTTAAAAACCTCCACAGACCACATGTTTTATAGTCCAGGTAATGCAGACAGTGCTGTTTTTCAGTGAACTCTACTAGCCCTTTTTTATGCTCAACAGATTGAGAGTTTCAGGAAGAATCAGCAAAACTTGAGGAACAAACAATTCTGTCTAGGCAATGTCTGAAGCAGCTGTGTCCTACTAATGCAGTGACTGTAACCAACTGCTGACGTACCTCAGACTACATTTGTACATCTAGCTTTAGCAGTATTGATGCTGAGACACATTAGACTAAAGATGATCATTGTAGAGTAATGGGAAAACTTTACAAATTCTATCACTGCAAGCAGCTTTCCTTACATTTTAAAGAAGGCTTGCCAAAAGGATGACCACTTCTATCTTCACCTTCAGAAGTGTCTAATGGAGGCTATAGACTCAGTGATTTTAGAGATGCACTTTCTTTAAGAAGTCAGGGGGTAGAAAACTGTAGCTACCACATTATAATGAGAAACCCTGCTTTGCTGCGTACTTCTATTTATGCATTTTGATTTCAGAAAAAATCAGCTATGCTTGGGGTTTTTTTTGCTAGCCTACACAAATTTCAGTTAGCTGGAAGGAGAAGGGGAAGGAAATCTCCTTATGATTTGACACTTATTCCCACACCATGCAATTTTAGCCCCTTAGAAACTTTAAAAATAATTTTCAGTATATCACAGGTTGCTAGACCAATGTGGCTCTACAGACAATGGTAGCAATTGCAAGTCAGCTATACTGCCCTTGCTACTCTTGTATATAACATTCAGTTAACAAACTGAAGTTATTAGTTTCCCTTAATAATTAACTAATTATTTAAGGAGGAGGCAGTGCTTACTTATCATCTCTGGAGTATCTGTCAAACTTAAAAAAAAAAACCCTACCACTGAAGCTGTTTATCACTAATTTGCATCTGGGACAGACCAGCTGCTTGCTTCTTTACCCTCAATCTGTCTGCAAAAGAACTGCTAGAAAACATAAGGCACACAAAAAGCCACTTCTGTCAGTAGATCTGGGAGTTCCTACTTTTGCTACTCCAGTTGTACTAATAATCACTCTTAGATATACTGCAAATTTAAGATTTTTCCCTATCTCTTCTATGGCCAAAGCTGAAAATTACTGTATATTGGCACAACTTTTGCCCAAATTAGCAACTACAGGTAGGCTGTGTTCATTAAACTGTTGAAATCAAAATACCTTCCAGACCTTACACACAATCTGAACAATAAAGGATCAAGAGCGTATACTGATACTATTCTTTGAGATATGAGCTGTTTCCACTGGAGTCTTCCAACTGCAGCATATATTTTTATAGACAGAATTGCTGTAATAGCAGCAAGTCAGGAAAGCACAGTAGAATTTTGGATTGCAGAGGTTTTGTGGAAGGCCTGGTCTAGAAATAGTATTTGGATTTCCAGCTCCTCAAACAGGAAGCTTTTAATGAATTTCCACTTTAATTTTTTGAGTTGGCAATGTCAGAAACCCCCTTCAGTTTTGTAGCATATGAACCACCTTTCAAACCCCACGACACCTTACTCTACATGAACTGTGACAAAGCTTTTTGTTTAAACTGAAGTCTTAGCCTAACCCTTGTACCTCCATCAAATGTTTCTCCCCATAATGACACTTGGTTTAATAAAACAAATCTGAAGTTACCCTTATTAATAAGAAGAGAGTCAGACTCTCAGAAATCATACAACCCAACACTAATACGTAGACAAGTGTTGCTTACATTTTAGGATAAAACCAAGTTATGTTTAATGAAAGCACAATGTAACATTTAAATCCCCTTAGTAGAGGTAGAAAGCCAGTGTTTTAATCTAATCCATTCAGATCTGAAATACTGATACCAGATACTGATTTATTGCTATTGGTGATAACCAAATTGGAGAGCTTATAATGTCAGTAAGGTAGCATGAATACAGTTGTGATCTCCAGTATTCATAGAGTAGAACATGTCCACATCTGTAGTAAGACAATAGCAGATTCTACCAAGAATCTACCACTTCTTGTAAACATTGTATTTGTGCAGATTTTTTTTCATACTTTAATTTCTAAAGTCATGAAAGGCAAGGTTAGTAGCAGAAAACACATCCAGTTTCACATTCATCAATGAGAACCCTGCTCTTCAAGGACAACCAAAAACCTAGCAGCACATTTTAAAACAATATTGAAAGTTTTTGTGAATTACTCACTCTTCAGAATCCGTTCCCCATTAAAACCAAACAACAACAAAAATCTGATGTGAAAAATAAAGTGCAGTACCCAGAAAAATAAGTGTCAAGAAAATAGCTGTTTCTTTTTAAAAAAAAAAAAATAAAAAGAAGAAAAAAATTTAAAAAGGAAGAGTACTTGGCCTCAGTCTTAAAAGTTCTATACTATGTCCATCATTCTGGATTCTTCTTCATCTCTTTGTATCACAGAGTTTAAATTGCAGACATCTGTGTTTATGGAACCTTGTAGATCAGCTGTGTTCTGCAACAGATGAAAAATCGACAGCTTAATTCTCCATAACTGTGTATATGGAGGTGGGGAGACAGAGAGAGAGAGGAGAGAGAAAGAAAGAAAGAGAGAAACGGAGATTTTTAGCTTAAGTTGGACTGTGTTGTCCATCTAAAGATAAGACAAATAAGCAATAGTAAAGAAATGAGCTCTGAAAAATTCATCAACCCAAATTATCTCACCATACAAGAATTCTTTAAATTTGCTGGCATAGTTTGTATTTGGTCTCAATATTTCTAGCACTTTTACTTAAAATTCAGCTGTTGGATCTTACTTGAGAGGTACTTTAATCAAATTATTTCAAATACGTAGTTTCAATTGTGACTCCTTCACTAACACCTAATTTCTGACAATCTTTTAAGTTGCTTCTTCATTCCAGAATGTGGCCATCGCTAGTACTGTATCAAAAGACTTAAGTACCCCCAGTTTCTTATTATTGCAACAAAAGACTTTCCTTAGGCTTGACTTACCTGAATGATCCCATGAACAGAATTTGTCATTTCACTGCTTGTGGTAAAGGCTGAATACAATTCTAGCATCTGATCAATTCTGTGATGCAGTGTTTATTTTAATCATGATAATGTAAGGGCACTGAACTAACATATGCTTTTAACCTTATTCTGATGATTTCTGAATTCCAGCAAGTAAAAAGAAAGCCCATATATGTCTTGTATATTGATAATACTGCATATTCTATCCTGAGCACTAGCAGCTCTAGGAATAACCCTCTTTACATTTCAGAAAGGTACAGCTTCCAAAGGCAGGACCTAATCCTAGTTTAGTTAAATTAATTTCTAGAAATAATAAACCTACCGGTGAAAAAGATACCAGCTCTCCTACAAGACCAGGACTGACACTGAGATCATGTAGTAACATAGTTTGAAAGCCATGTGAGCGTGACCAGATTCTCACTCTTGTCTTGAATGACTCAAGTTCATTTTTAAAAGCCTCAAAATAGCCTTCTCCTGTCTGCAAAGAGAAAAACGAAATATTTGCACTTCAGCCAGATTTACTTTTGAGTTGTAAGCATATACAGTGCTGTAAAAAAACACGCAGTAATGCATGTTATGCTCTTTGTGGTATAACAAGTGTGAACAACTTGGGAATAATGTTAGTAAATTTAAAGTTAAATTTTTGGGTAGATTTTAAGACAATCTGTAGTACTTACATGTAGAAGCAAAGTAATTGATTTATCAAAGGACACGTAAAAATAAAACTAATTGTATTCCAACTCAGAAGCCACAACCCTTAGAAGAAGAGGTGCTTGTAGCACTCTGGTTGAAAGCAAAGTACAAGTTGGCTCACACTTTAACTGAACTCTTTTAGGCAACACTGAGATCCATCAGAGTCTGGATTGCTCTATTTCAGTAATGAGAAAGGACACGGTTTTGGGCCCCACTGTGAAATGCAGATGAAATGGAAAGTTGTGACAACACATAGGTACACTGTGAAAACACAAGTGTAATTAGCCCAAATCAGTCCTTAAATTGGTCTATGTTTGCTGTCGTTAGTTATTACTTGTCTCTAACACCCCTGTTGTCCCCCTGCTGTATCTTGCTTTCCCTCTGGGATAAGCAAAATCCACTAAACTTTACTTTTTCAGAATTGTGATTACACCAAATATGACGTCTAGGACAGAGCTGCTAACAAAACACTTTCCCATAAGCCTACATCAGTCAATAAAACACTTTGCCTGTAATGGTTAGGAAGAAATCTTCTCTAAAACACTGGTCCCGTGTATAGCATCAAGAGTTGCTCCCATCATTACCCAAGCTGACTTAC